AGGAGTTTTGTTAAAACAAATGATAACCCTTTTGAGGTACCAAAGCCCCCACTTCATTATACTACGAATAATCAAACGATAATTTGAGGTATGTTTATCAAACTCGGAGGAGAACCCAACTGATTTAGTGCTCATGAACAAGGAGCTCATGCTCGAGAAACCAAAAATAGAGAGCATGATGGGACTAAATGATCACGTAAGCATACTTTACGACTCTGTACGCTATGCAATATCCACAAGAGCAAACTGACTTGTTTCGGACATTCACATAATACGATATAATAGCAATACTCCTTTAAAGCGGAATGCAGTTGTATTTGCGCGTGGACGGATAGTAGTTGATAGGCTACTCTGCAGGACAGCGCATCTGAATTGGAAGGAGTTAGATCAAATAGCTGTCCCTGTTTTTCACACACATAGATGACGTGTCTTGTTGCGAACCCTCTGATCAAAGATGTGTTGCAATACTAATGCAGAGCGATGGGAGCAGGTCTTTTGTTCGGTGAAATTGTGCACGATCATCAAGTTAATTTTCGAACTTTGTCAATAAACGCGAAAGTATCTTTTAGACTATGTCCAGCCAGTTCGGAACGAATATGCTCGATGCGTTTGACCAACAATCGTGCCGGTTTCTGGTGCAGTGCGGCACGTATTAGAAGGTTTGGACGTAGCGGAGCCCCACGCTACGTGTTTTCGGCAATCCATTCAACTAAGTAAGTCATGTGCCCCGTGGGGCAAGTTTCGCCATCCTTTTGCGTCCGGGGATCTCTCTCTGTGTGAAGTTCGCAACAAACGAGCTAACAACCTTTCCGATTGTACTGTTCTATCTCGTCCTGTCAAATCTCGGATGAATCTTCCCTTATTTGTGAGCGCCGATTCTTATATTTGGGTATAGTCCTTTTTACTGATTATGACAACCCGTAGTGAATACAAAATCTTTATCAATTCAAGTGCGTTTGTGACTCTACTTATATTGGTCGAACGGCATGGCATTTGTCCAAACGCGTGAAGAAGCACTGCCCGCGCTGGTTGCGTCAAGGAGGAACTGGGGCCATTAGCAGCGCCGTGTTGGCCCATATTGTCGACACGGGGCACCAAGTCGATCGAAAGCGTGCGTTCAACGGAATCAAGCATGTGTGTTGCTTCCGAAGGGACCGAATCATGGAGAACCGCTCCGGTGACGGAGACTGGGATAGTTGCGTCTCCTCCTCCTGTGCCGAGACCGGAAGAGCGCTCTAACAACACCCCGAATTCTCTGTGTGAACCATCTCCGGCTGAATTTAATTCCCACTCTGCCTCTGACAGTTTTACCTCCTCGAAGGATATTTTGTGTCCTTACTGTTGTCGTCAGTTCTTACAGCCGCGTTTTTTAAGGATTCACTTACGCAAGTGTCCTCAAGCACCAACGAAGCTCACACGTGATGTTGTCGCAACCACTACACCGCTCACTGACAAGAACGGGGACTCGACAGCCGGTGGTGCAACTTCACCACTGACCTGCCCAACCTGTTTCCGAGAGTTTCGAAAGCTGAAATATGTTAACGCTCACGTGCCGCGATGTGGAGTATCCGAAATGGGAGCTAGTCTATTTGCCAGTATCTCTGCAACTGGGTCTCAGGTATCTTCGGAGCCGGATTCTTGTTCGTTGTCGCAACCCACATCTTCAGTATCCGGCCCCCATGTAACAGGGGAGTCAATGGACGTTGCGGATTCCACAACCGGTGCATTGAAGAGGGCAGCTAAGAACGGTTCGGCTGCAGCTCATGCTACTGAGACAGATGCTGGGCCTGACGAATCCGAAATGACTGAGATGCCTACCCTGGATAACCGGCGGTCTACGCCGGATGTTGTCCGCAAATTGACGGAAGATAGAATAGGAAGTTCCAAGGAAAAATGTGAAGAATTTGTAAACACTACAAATTTACAGGGTCCCCCAGCATCAATCAAGAGGTTTGCGCCTCCGTGCGCTCGCTACAGCTGAATCGATTTGCACTCGGTTGTTTCAACCTTCATTGTGCTCGCAAAAGAAGTTGCTCCATGCCTTACAGCTTCCCTGGCCAGCTAGAACGAACGATACTGAGGTCGATTGCCACAGATCAAGCTCGATAACATGCAATCGACCTGTCAGATCAATGGCCAACTTTTAGCCTCCCTCGCTGATCTGTTAATTAACTATGTAACTTGACCCAATGAGTCGATTTCAGTTCATTATTTTACCCTTAAATATGATTGTAATGGTCTGAAGAGAATCATCGAAAACAATTGTTCACCTATGGTCTCGTGTTCTTTTGATTTCAGTATTTTTTTCCATTTGTTTCTCTGGCGTCATATCTGGTTCACTTTCGGATTCTATGTTAGTCGAGCGCTACCTTGCTCTGTGCACTTGCTAATGTGGCTCAAGCTCAGCACAGCCTTGTGCACTACACGTTAGTTCCGGAAAAGTTTTCATTCTTTAAGTATCGGTTTCCGTGTTGGTTTCCACTGGTTCTCGTCACAACCATTACCTGAGTTGCGCTCAACAAACCCCAGAACCCTTGTCGGGCCTTGGTATTAAATCATCTTCATTTCGATATAAGCGCAGCAACGTACCAGTGTTCTTACGCGAGAAACAACGATGTGTTTTAGCCATGGTAAATATTAAATGGAGGATCAATTTTTGAATACACGTTGTGTGATTGGATTGCAACGCGCGGTCTCAAAGTGGACCGCGGCTCACATTGAAATGAACCTTAGTCCCTGCGATCACTGGGACCGTAGTCAAAGCAGATGGAAATTGGGTGTTGCTCGCCCGAAAACACTGCATAACCAGTGCAGTGTTTTCGGGCTGGCAGCACCCAATTTCCAGATGGTAAATATTGTTCTATTTGATATGTGTTAGGTTGCAAACGTATAATACTGAATAACATTGGGCTAGTAATTCGAATTACAATTCCGTTGTTTACTCTATTTCGTAACCAGCTTGGGTTGGAGCTTTGCAAAATTCCAGATTTTCTGAGTACTACAATTGGCGTCGCGGTCAGTGTTAAGTTCCTAATGAATCCGGATACTGAAATTCTGGACCAAAATTCTTCCCCACAAAAGATTTTGTCTTATCTCGGGCAGTTTGAGCTTTCGTGGCTTACCAAGCCTGAAGTACAAGAAGAAATGAAAATCTTTTTTCGCTAATCTTGACCAGAACGCTTACAAAATTTTGAAGTGGTTGGCATATCCCAAGTTACCAACAAACTTTATTTTGAACTGCTGAGAACTCTAATACTTAATCATTTGTTACCAATATTTCGTTGTGGCAGAGAGAACCACATGTAAAATCCTGGAACGGTAGCCAAACTACTCTGTTCGTGATTTTAGTCCGCAGCTACTTACTCATGCTTCTCGATATTCTTTTGGTGCTAAACTGGATGTGTATCACGGGGATCGCTTTATTGTCGGAATTAATATCCCAACTCTATGTCGTCAGCTGAGTTCACTTTCTACTCCAACATATAGGAATGTTAAACTGCTTTCGGTTAATTTTCAAGATGTTTACGAAGTTTCGAGGTGCGAAACACCGTCTGACCTGCAAATCCTGTCCGCTTCTGCCAAAAGCAATGCTTCTGTTAGGCAACAGAAACCGTGGCGATACAAATTCGCCAATTTGGATAGAGATCATCGTCCATACAGGAGAAATCACCAGAACATTGATAATCCTGGTACAGTCTCTAAACTGTTGGGTCAGTGGGTCTTATGTGGAATTCAATGTTTCCATTATGTCAAAGTTGGACACATGCGTAGCGTCTGTCGGCTTGCGAAACCATGTAACGTTGTGAACACACCTATGGACAGCGTGATCCAAATATGCGCTAATCTCAATTTGCTAGTATTGACAGTTAATAGGAATGGCCATTTGTACAATAGTCTTCAGGTTGGAAACAGAAAACCATGTGAGTTCGTTGTTGACACTGGTAGTGTGGAATCACTGCTTGCTAAATCAAGTCTTCCTCGCCTTTATCCTGGGTTGCAGTTGCAAGTAACCTTTATTAACATCCGAATTCTTACTGGTCATACACTAACTGTGTTAGTTTGAAGACGTTCGACAGTATTAGGCAATGACAGCAACCTTTCGATGATAATTTCGTAGCCACGAGGACCATCTATGCTTAGGTTGAGTTATGCAGGCACTAAAGTAAGTGTCACAATTTGTCCAGTGCAGATACCAAGACTCAGATTTGGCCTCTGATTCATGACTGTGCCATAGCTTCCGCTGGTATGAAGATTCATCCGGTAAATACTGAGGCTATGGGAGATCCTATGTCTAATAAAGGTCAACTTTTGCCATATGGGCTAAGGTAGCCAGTCAGGAAAGTTTTAAACTTTGTGTGAAAATGCAGTACTTTCCTCAGTCCATAGCTGCCGATGGGCAACAACCATTGACACACCACTAGAAGCAGATGGTCTGACATCCAGAGTCTGTGGTGAATATGGGGACACTGTTAACACGAGACGGTGTCAATGTAGGTGCATTACGAAGGCACCTGAAGCTGTTCTATTCAGCTCACATGTTTCTGGGATTTTCTCGGGACTGGACCTAAAGAAAGCCTGTTTACAGATACCGCTTAATGGGTCATCTGGTAAACTAACTACTACTTGTATATCTTTCGGTTTGTACCGTTATCGTTTCCTTCCTTTTGGTCTTAGTTTATCTCCAGCCATTTTTCAAGAAGTCATGAATTCACTTGTAAGCGTTTTAGTAGGCGTTGTAGTCCACCAAGATGACGTGACTGTATGTGGTGCTGACAAATTTGTTCATGATTCTCGCCTATTAGCAAGACTGAAGCGATTCAAAGACGATTAGTGTAAAAGTAGATCATAAAAATGTGTTTTCTGTGTTCAAGCAATCGGTTATCTGAGTTACCAAGTTACATCCTCTGGATTCAGCCTAGATGCCGATCGGCTTATATCACTGGTTGATTTTAAATAACCAACTATTGCTCCCGAACAAAGGTCCTTGAAGGAAAACTTACGATAGCACACAAATTTCATGCGAAAATTTGCCTCTGGTACTGATCATATGTCCAGTTTACTGAACTCTAACATTTTTTGTCTTCTACAGTGCATGAAACAGTGCTACGGAAGCTACTAAACTCACTCCAGTCTGACTGTTTGTGTTCAACCTATACGGCTGAAGTTTATCCTGTTCTTATTATTGGTACTTATCCAAGTGGTATTGGTGCTATGCTAGAACAAGAAGGACACCCATTTCTTTGCATTTCTCGCAGACTTAGCCAGGTTAAGTTGGGATACACGCGGACGCATAGTGAAGCATGAATGTATATTTATAAATATAAATAAATATAAATATATACATTTGCGACAGTCTACGAAGAGACATGGAGCCATCAGAAACTATGTGACTCAAAAGACTACATAACAGTAAAAGAAAAGACAACACAGTGCATCAAAGTCCTTGAATGTGTATTGTACTGTGAGTCGCCTGCACAAATAGCTGTTCGGTCTGAAGTTCACCATAGTAAGTGATCACGAGGTCTCGAAGTATATATACAATCCAGCTAGCTAATTAGCCAAAGCCTCTGCCACAACGGTTCAAAGATGGAGCATTACACTCAGTTCTTATGAGGACGAGATGGAACCGAGTGGTGTTAAAGACATTCCTCACGTGGATTATCCTTCTCGACATGGTGGTTCGTTTAAACCTGGTTCCGAAGTTGATTACCTACTTGCTTAACCACTTTCTATGTCTCGTGCAGCTCTAAGTAATAAGACGATGAAGTGCTTTAGATCAGTACTTTCACCTTCGAAAAATGACTGGTCTCCTCTGTTAAAGCGGAAGTTAGCCAAGTTTTACAAACATTGTGATGAATGATGTGTTACTTCTGATGGTACAGTGTGTGTCCATGATGGCATTGTGATTTCTCCGCTTTTGTGAGATACAGATTTAATCGATCTTCATTTTGAACATTTAGGCATAGAAAATATGATGTCTTTGGCCCGGTGTCCATGTTAATTGCCTGAAATTTGTACTGATATTCGACAAGCTGCTACAAGATGTGAAGACCGCCTACCCGAAGTATGAAGTCAGCCATCTAAATGGACACCCTGGCGTAGGCGTATGAAGTCTGGCAGCGTGTCTACATCGATTACTGTGGTCCATTCCTTCAGAAGTGTTATGCGTTTGAAAGAATTGATTCTTATTCGTAGTGGCCTGAGGTATACATGACGGATAACCCAAATACCAGTTTAACTATTCTTACCCCAAGAAAAGTGTTTGGTCTTGAAGAAGTACCTTTAGCTATTGTGAGCGATACTGTTTTACGTTTCACTGCATTGTGTGTCACAGATTGGTTAAGGAGTCTTGATTGTCGTCATCTATTTATCACCCCCGGATACCTTTGCTCCAACGCATTGGCTGAACACTTTGTTGGTACTTTTAAACGTGCAATTAGTTCATGTGCTCCGACAACATTTGATGAACTCAATCGATTCCTTGGTAGCATGTCACTTTAGCTGCGTAACTGTGTTCACTTTAATCTTGGACAGACACATGCCAATATGTGCAAATCCGCACCACTTCGTTCTAATACACTCGGGTTGAGCATTGTCAGAGTATCCTATTTCGGGAGCAAGGATTACTGATCCAGCTCTGGAACTGTTGTGAGTAACCTCGGAATACGTCAGTCGACAGAAATTTCCAACACTTCTGAGATCGATATAAATGTACGTTTTATAGATTCCATTCCAGATATCGAAGATGAGAAGCGACTTAGAAGTGTACAACGACTCCAAGGTATGCCCCAGAAAATTGCAGAAATCCCGAGATGCATTCGAGCTCGGTGGATCTTGTGACTGTAAATATTGTACTGCTTGACATTTCTTATGTCGTATTACCTATGATACTGATTTAGCTTGACCGCGTAATTCGAAATTACAATTCGGTTGTTCTCCCACTACGTCGAAGCTAGCTTGGGTTTGAGCTTTGCGTTATTCCTTATTATATACGTATTACATATTTCAGTCGCAGTATAGCACAATTGGTTAGCCAGGTCGAATGCCTTAACGTTTTCCGTTGACGAAATTGGACTGGAAAGTTGCTCTTGCAAGTGTGCAAACTGTTCTACAATTCCTATATCGACACATTTATAAAAGGACCTCAAATTGAAGCTGTTAGCCATGCTTCTTATAGTTCATGATGGACGACTTACTAAACAGTAGTTAACTGGAGGGTTTTCGCAGATTTTTCGAAGCATGTCTGTCACTCATCTGTGTGTTTCCATAAAGGATGCTGCAGTGATTAGATGTTTTCCTGTACGGGAAACGTTGTGCTCTGTAGTCTACATTCATTGAGTTGTAAAGAGCAGAAGGGACGCCCTATCACTTTCAGTTCAGCTAGAGGAGCACATATGTCAAAGCTATCCGGTAGTCCTCATTGAACCGGAGCCGTCGTAGTAGGACAGTGCGGCTTTAGTGTCTTGCGTAGGTAAGTATCTAAGGGCCGATTGAAACTTTCTTTAGTGTTGGCATCAACAACACTCACCGGTAGACGCTGCCAGTTATTCACCAGCCGAGTGGAATGAGCGACAGCGGTGCCGACTTTGAACCTTCTCGGTTTGAATAGCTTCCAGTTTTGGCCTCGTGTAGAGCTACTTATATTGAGCTGAAAAAGCTGATGTAGCTAATTCCCAAGTTCCCCTCTTTGTATGCACCTCGTAAAGATGAGGACTGCACGACAGTGACGGTATTCCATGAAGAGTAGATTCATCTCTAGAAGGCGATACCAGTAGGGAAGAGCAGGAAGCCCGGAAACGGACTTTAAGCCACGCTTCTGGACCTTTTCGATTAAGGTACATTCATACTTAGAGTGAAGATGTAGCTAGCAGCCTATAATATAGAATCGGTAGTACATGAGAGGTTAACAGGAGCCTGAAGATCCTCGACATCATTTGAGAAAAGGATTTTCTTATGGCACTAAACATCCTGTTTGCAGCGGCGACTTTTTCGTTGTATCCTGTGTGGATTTTAAAGTCAAGTACAACCATTACGCCTAGATCTTGAGCTTGAGCGGTGTGTTGCAGAAGGAACGTACCAATGTGGTACGTTCCAAGTGGCTCAGAATTCCCGATCGGTAGAACGCAGCATTTTTCGTAGTTTATTGGTAAACCCTACTTGATGAACCAGTTATGCAATGGATTAAGGGTCAGCTGTAGTGGATCAGCGGCGTCAAGGTCAGGCACTTCAGACCACAGCTTGAAATCGTCGGCATAGAGTGCTGCAGGAAGATCATTGATATAAAGAATGAACAGTACGGGTCCAAGGAGGGATCCCTTTGAAACACCGCTTGTCACGAGCACTGGCTTGAAATGCGTCTCGTTTACTACTACTTGCATGGTTCGATCTTCCAAGAAGTCGGCGATTCACAGCTGAAGGTTGTCACTAACACTAATATCTGTAAGCTTCCAAAGTAGTCGCTGGTGTGGACCTTTGTCGAGCGCTTCGCTAAAATTGACGAAAACCACGACTAAGCGTTGTCCCGTGTCAGTTGACCTCGTCAATTTTTCTCTCTCCACTAGCAGGTTGGTGAAGCAGGATTGCCCCTTCTGGAAACCATGCTGGATAGAGGAAGTGATGTTATTTTCGTCGCAGTGCTTCTGCTCTTTCCCTGACTTTAAAAACGATGGATGTCAATCAGATTAAACGATAGTTAACAGGGTCTTGGCGAGTTTTTCCTTTGTACTTAGGCATCACGAGCCCAGTTTCCAAGTCGATGGGTAAACGACCAGCCTTCGAAGACAGATGAAAGACTTGGCAGATGAGGCAACCCAGTCGGCCCCTGTCTTGAGGAAAATGGGATACAAACTATTAGGGCCAGGTGAAGAGTTTGGGTTTAGTTCAACTAGTAGTTCTAAAACAGTGTCCGGCCTGAATTCAGTAAATTCTAGGCAACAGAGTTACGTGGACTCATGTACGTTGATCGACTGAGCTTGCGGAGAGTATGCGGAGAAGTACTGCCAAGCAAACAAGTTCGCTTTCTCTTCGTCTTCATTAAGCGCGACTCTGGTCGCGTTGGATAACAGAGCTGGTATGCCGCAACCGGCTTCAGTTTTCTTGTTGTGATAAGCGCAATGAATTTTGGTCTAGCGCAGGATTGTTCTGCTAAGGTGAGTTCAAATTTTGTCAATTCTTACACTTTTGCTGGGAAAACAGGTTCCTAAGCGCCTGGTACTTCGAGTAATCAGAGGCAAGTTGAGAGAACTTGTATTTGTCCCATAGTTTTCGTCGCTGATCCATGATGAGCCGCAGTTGTCAATCAATCTAAGGGGTCTCTCGCGCGGGGCTGCTTTCCAGAGTTTGGGACAACCTGTTCAATCAGCGGGTTCAGTTTGGAGTGTAGAAGGTTTCAGCCCGCATCAACATCTAGATCTTGAGGGATCGTCCAGTCATGGGTGCTAGCCGGTTCTTTGGCCTCTCGCGCGGGTTAGTTTCTGGAGTTTATAAACAGTCTTGATGTCGTTAGCAAACAAAGTTTTCTGCAATGTTCCATGAGTACGATAAGGTCGTTAGTGTTGAGTAGGAAAAGGGAAGTACCAAGCACAAGTCTTTGGATGCAACGATTGGTGCTCAGACGTGGGGACGTGTATTGGTCACTCAGTGACTATCTCGGAACGCCACCTAAACTACGAGATCAGCCTTCACAGTATTGGGTTTCTGATCACAAAGGACTCCGTGATTTTCAATAGTCGCTTGTAAGGCAATCGGACGAATACTTTTTGCATATTCACGAATAAAAGTATAACTGCATAAATAGAGCCGATAAATTCTGTGATGCAATCCAATTGGTACAACCGAAAAGCTGTTTTGGAAGTTTAACGAGGACTCTACTTTGGGGTCTAATAAGCAGACCATGATAAAAGATAAAGCTCATTAATACATGTATAGTAGATTTTTTGGCAGTCTAGTAATTATGGTTGTAGGAAGAATGGGACGGTACTTAGCCACGGATTGTTTAAGGCCACCGGTAAGACGAAGGG